CGATTCAGTTCTCCCTAATTGCCTTTACTTACCTCTCTCTCTCTCTCTCTTTCTCTCGTATGCACTCACTGTCACCGTTATTGCTGCTATTGCTTCTACTTTGTCTCTCTTTGTACCTGTACCCAATGTTTTAATTTCAACTCACTCTTGCCTGCTAGCCTTGTCTAATGTCAAGTAAAGATTCAAGCAGAGAGGTTTGGAGCAAGGTGATTCGGCTTCTAGTCAGACCAAGTCAAATGTTGCCTCGTCGCAACATCGTTACGTCAACTCGCACCCTCAGCATGGACGAAAGTTCGAATTCGACATTGGTACAATGGCCAATGTACTGTTCTCATGTTAGTCGGCCCACTGACAATTGCTTCCGACAAAGAAGACTTCGATGATAATGATGATGATGATACTATTAATAATGGTGATGATGAGTCTATTCGGCCGGTCTCTTCCCTTTCTCCCTCTTTTCCCTCTTGCTCACACTCGTTTTGGTTTCCTCCCTCTCCCCCTCCTCTTCTTCCACATCATCAACAACAACAACATCATCATTACCGGCCTGATGAGTTGAACCCCTCGACTCTCGTGCTTGACCCAAGCTCCTGTTTCTGTTGATATGCCAGGTCTACAATAGTGTATGGCCTGATACACGTCTTGAAAGCTAAGCCCTCTCGTAGACACGTTATATCGGTCCATCAGTGCTACATTCGAGGGACTTTACACATACATACATACTTGCATGCAAAACGACAAATCTTAACTTTGGTATGAAATCACGGGTTATTCTATGAGCCGCATTCTTTTTGCTTGAATTTCGTATTCCCATCATTTCTTTGTATGCTCTTTTGGCGTCCTCTTGACTACTTATTTCAATTAAACCAGAAGGAAACTATGGCGGGAGGGTGGTGAACATAAGGTTGCTTTACGGAGCGGATATCTTTAAGGCTCCCTATTGTATCCCATAGACGAATAACTGCACTAGAAAGATAAATAAATCACCAAGTATGAAGTCTCATCTTCTTCACTTTGTTCTTATCAATCCCTAAGAGGTCTGTACTGCGAACGGGTCAGTCAAGGGTTCGTGAAAGCTGAAGAAGGCCGTTGTGCATCGGTCAAGTGACTAAACTAGGCGAGATTGGCGCTTTATCCTGTCTTCGAGGACTTTGTCAAACTATGCCTATGCCATTTATGTATGAGATTTATTCAACATATTTCGTTTACGGTGATAAAGGGACTGGTAGTTGAATTG